AGGCGCCGAGCCATGAGCAATATTTTTTAATGACACTTTTTTCCTGGTGCCTTTGTCTATTGGTATCGGCCATCATAACACCTATACTCTTTTAAAGAAGGTCTCCAGGCTCAGCGCCAGTTTAAGACAAATCCACAGGGAGCAGAGAAATAAATCCTCTGACCTCACTGTCCTCCTTTCTAACTTGCTAAGGCTCCTTCTTAGCCAAATACGACTGGAAGCCAAAGGGCAAGGGAGTGCACTGAGGTCTGCCTCCTGGGGCAGGGTGGAAAAGGGTAGTAAGTGGCCTGGAGGGGGGAATGGAACTTGTCTGGCACATAAATAAGTAAGAGTGGGCCATGCATGGATCAACGAGGACCAAAGAAGACCCGCAGTATGAGCTAAGGTTGTAGTTTGCCAAATTACTTAAAACTGGGGTCCTTTAAAAAAGATCAATTGCCTCCTAACTCATATGCTTCTAGAAAAACCTTACGCTTTGGTTTTATGACTGGGTTTTTCAAAATCTGACTTACTCTTAACTCATGTTCTGACCTTTATCTATGATTCTGAATATTCTTCTGTCTGAATATTCAGGCTTGTGGTAATTGAGACTGGTCCCCCCTACTAAGAACCTACTGAGGGAGAACCACCTGGTGCCAAATCAGGCTGTGTGGGAGACCTTAGGCAGACCTTTCTGGTCCCCCCCAGGGACCAGAAACTGTGAGTCATGTTCTCACAGTTGTTTATGGCAGGGTCCCAACTACAGCATAGAATCCCCTGTCCCCGCCCATTTTCCAAGCCTGTTCTCCAGCCCGATAGTCCAGCTTCCCAATACCAACTCTGTGAGTCCTTCCTTCTCTGGTACTCTTTCAGTGGACATTACAGTGGAACTGCAGGTGGGCGGGGGTGAAGCAGGGTAAGGGTACAGAATTTTCTGGAGAATCCATAGTTCAGGGCTGGAGGCAGGGATCCACCTATCCTACTAGCCTCCCACCATACTGAAAGAAACCTAGGAAATCACCTCTGGGTTCTAGCAATGTCATAAACTAGTAAGAAGGCCCCCAGGCAGGGCGAGAGCTCTGTCCTAACTTCTCAATTTACCATACTGCTAGACGGGATCTTATGAACAAGAAGAGTGGGTGGTCAGCTGTAGCTTGAGGACCTTCAAAAGGCCTGCTGGACCCCAAACCATCTCTGTGCTGGCCTGAGTTTCTGTCCGGAGTTTCCATCATTCAAGTCATTCCTTTATGCTAAGAATTTGCTTCCAGAAGTCATCTGCAAAAATGTTCATCCTGCCTAAAAAGGTATGGCCCTTACTTACTTATGGCAGACCTCAGTGCACTCCCTTGCCCTTTGGCTTCCAGTCGTATTTGGCTAAGAAGGAGCCTTAGCAAGTTAGAAAGGAGGACAGTGAGGTCAGAGGATTTATTTCTCTGCTCCCTGTGGATTTGTCTTAAACTGGCGCCGAGCCTGGAGACCTTCTTTAAAGGCCCTTACTTACCTTTCTTCTTGTTTGCTCAGCATCTCACTTCCCTCCCTGTTTTGAGAACACTGCCCCTTATGAGTATTTGGAGGAAGCAGAGCCCATCTTCTACCACAGACACCTCACCAGAAGGTACAGCATTTGACCTCCCAGTCTTTCCTGTCTGTAGCCAGCGTAGAGACACATGACCAAAGGCCACGCACACACACTTGCTCCAGACTGTGCCTCAGAAGCTAGTGGCGGAGTTGGAGGAATGTTTATTTCAGCAGTGGATGGCAGCAGGGGCAGGGATCCTGCAGCAGCAGCAGCAGTAGTGCAGAACATGGGATCCCCTGGTGAGGGGGTGGCTGCAGTCACGTTCTCGGTTTGTCACAGGGTCCCAACTACTGCATAGAATCCCCTGTTCCTGTCCATTTTCCAAGCAGCTTCCCAATATCCTTTTATTAAGTTCCCATGCTGCTTGAACCAGACATATCTTCATTTGCAAGAAACTAAGGACACTGACATGGGGGTGACACATGAAATCAGGAGAAGCTATAGATGGACCAGTCACAGACAGATTCTTTTGTCTAGTTGAGAAACAGCAGTATTCCATGGAAAGGGTTTCTGTTGATGGAGAGAGGAAATTAGTAGAGTCTGGTCCGATGGGCATTGGCCATCGGGGCTTGCCCCGGACTACTAGCCAGAGGTTTCAAGGCAATCTGAGAGATACCCCACTAGGTGGGGGCAGTGCAGGAAAAGTGGGGTTATAATAAGGGCAAAATCTAGCAGGCCTGCTGCTAATGCTAGTGAACATGGAGCCTTACTGAGATAGCCCTTTTCATACCCCTTTAGAGCATCCAAGGGAAGTTTCTTTGTCATAGTAAGACCACTGATTTTATCTCTTTTATTTGCCTGAAAGTTTCTGCTGACATTTAGTCTGCCTGGTAATAGCAATCAGCTTGTTGGAGTTCTAGCCTCTCGCCACCATCCTGCCTCCCCCACTGCATTTAATCCGTTTTTATGATTTGGTAAGCAGGGATAAAAAGTTCAAAGACAGTATAAATTCTAAACTACCAAAACGACAGGGGATGTGTCTTTGTTATCTGTTCTCCCAGAGAGGAGCACAGAAATTGCTCCACATTCACTGAGGGAGAAAGGAAACTAGGGATTCAGTGAATACAGATACTGAACATCTGCTGAGATAATGTGATTTTTTTTTTCTCCCTGAAGGGTTAGGATGGTCCACAAGTTAGCAGAATTTACTCCTCTCTCCATTCTTTACTTTCCACCAGAAAGTATCTTGTGTTCACTTTCCTGAATGGATAAACTCAGGGCACAGGACCCAGTTATTGTTCTCTTCGTTTTTCCATGGAAGAGTCATGTCTTTCTGCCAGAGACTCCAGATATAAACCCAGGGCACCTAGAGTGGGCCTGCCACAAGCCCGTTCTGACTGCAGAGGCAATACAGGGCGGCCAGGCAGGAAGAGAGAGACCTCCCCTCATGTCAGACCTTCCAGCTATACCTTCAAGTTCTTGTGCTTGTGAATCCCCAGGCACTGACTCTCACCGTCCTAGCACACGTTCTTGGAGTTGTTTTGCTGTAGGCCAGCACTGAACTGCCACCCTTTCAACACCATCGGTGTCACCCAGGGAAGGACCCTAAAAAATAATCTAACGGAAACTACAAACAACATTTAAAAAAGAAAAAACACAAACTGCGTTTGATTTAAAAAATATTTATCAGATATGTTGTCTTTTATTTTCATAGCTTGTCACTTAATAAATATTTTATCAGGGTGATGAGGAGGACTCACAGTGATGGAGAAAGAACTTAGGGGGACTAAGAGATGGAAACATTTTAAATTTTAATTTAAACCTCAATTCATTGACTTGCATCAGACCTTGAAATCTAGCCAAGAAAGCATCCTTATGTGGATGCAGAGACCAAATTTCTAACCTTGGCATGCAGCCTGGTCAGTATATGGAGGACCAGTGGCAGCGGCTCTTGATGACCTGAAGCAGAGGCTTCTTAAAAGTGAGGAAGGTGACAGTGCAGGCCACCAGCAGGGTGAGGCAGCTGGGGAGAACCAGCACCAGGTAGAGCAGGCCCATGTCCAGCCGCTCCCACTTACATTCCTGAGGCACACCCCGCGGTAGCTCTACCACACGGATGACCTTGGAGGAGAGGTTGCATGTGACTGAGGCCCAGTCGGCCACCGTCCGCAGATGCTGCAGGTCCCCCCAGCCCTCCACCCCACAGCAGTCGTATGGATTCTGACTGAGGTAGATGGTCCGCAAACCTCTCAGGAGCTGCTCAGACACAGCCCTCTGGGGAAGGGCTGTGAGCAAGTTTCTGCGGAGATCCAGGGTCTGCAGGGCCAGGCCATCCCGGAACTTTGGGAAGCTGGTCAAGGAATTTCCTGACAGATCCAGATGCCTCAGATTTTTGAATCCAGAGAAGTCCAACTCCTTAAAGCTGGAACTGAGGCCCACATTCCTGAGAGAAAGGACCTGCAACTTGGGGGCGATGTCACAGAGAGAAGCAATGCTCCTATTCAGAACCCCCCAATTGCTGGATAGGTCTAAGTGAGTGAGGGGAGTACCCTGGAACGGGCAGTCTGGTAAAGCCCCCAGCCCACAACCCTCCAGGGAGAGGCTCCTCAAAGAGGCCATATTCCTGAAATCCACGCAGCTGGGGCCGCCCGCCTGCTCTGAGGCCGCTGGCGGGGCACAGAATAAGATCTGATTGTGGCTCATGTCAAGTGTAGTGATATTACTGGCATTGGCGAGGAGGCCAGAGGGGATGCCCAGGAGCTGGTTGGAGCTCAGGTTGAACAAGCGGAGGCTCCGCAGGCAGCCAGTGAGTCCCGGAGCCAAGGACAGCTCCGACAGCTGGTTGTGGCTCAGGTCCAGCTCCGTGAGCGCCCCTGGGGGCTCGTGTTCCTGTATGTGGAGTGTCATCAGGCAGTTCTGGTTGAGGTTCAGGTGGGAGAGGGATGGCATTTTCTTCAGGAAGCCATCTGGCAGGTACTGGAACTGGTTCTGGCTCATGTCCAAGACACGGAGATCTGAGAGGTCGCTAGAGGAAAACTCTTCCCAAAGGTTGACAGTGGTGATGTTGGTCACGTTGCCATCCACAAGAAGGAACTGGGCCACCATCTCCTTCGGCGACGAGGCATTATACAGGTCCCTGTAGAAGCCCATGCTGTTGTCCCGCAGCAGGAGGGTACGCAGCTTGCTGTACTGGGGCAGGAGGGGGAAGAACAGCAGCTGATTGTGAGACAGATCCAGCGTCTCCAGCTCAAAGACGGAGTCTCCACCGGATGCCAGGAACCACTCCAGGGCGTTATAGCTGACGTTGAGAAACCGCAGCTGTGTGAGGCCGAAGTCCACGATGCAGGGCAGGTTGTTATACGCCAGGTTGAGGTGTCTCAGCTCAGTCAGGCTGTCAAAAGCACCTCCCTCGATCTCAAAGATGTAGTTCCGCTGCAAATCCAGCTCCCGAAGGTGCTCCAGGCCCTCGAAGACAGACTCATCCAGCCTCATGATGGTGTTCCTCACCAGGGACACCGACTCCAGTGAGGAGACGTTCTGGAGCATCAGGGCCACCATGTCCTCCGTCAGGGAGTTTCCAGACAGGTCCAGCCTCTGCAGAGCTGGCAGGGTGTGGAGAGCAGCTGCTGTCTCCTTGTAGTTCTCTGACAGGGAGTTGTCCGCCAGGTTCAGGCTGTGCAGGTGGCCTTGCTCCTGAAAGGCGCCCCGGTCGATGAGTTCCAGGTGGCAGCTGTGCAGACTGAGGCTCTCCAGGAGAGGGTAAGGCTGCAGGGAATGATTCCACAGGGTCTTGAGAGGGTTGGCATCCAGGATGAGCATCTGGGAATGCAGCGGGAGGCTGCCGGGCACGGAAGAGAGGCTCTGCCCTCGGCAGTCAGCAGCTCCACCCACCTAGGTCCAAACACACACTAGTCAGCAGGGAGGAGGGCCCTGAGGCAGAACTTTCTGCGCAGAAACTCAGTTCACTTATCAGACTGTCCAGGCCACCACTGGAAATGACTTGAGAGCAGCAGTTCTCAACCTGTACAGCCCACAGGAACTGTATTAAAGGGCCGCAGCATTGAAGGTTGAGAACCACTGCTCTAGAGACTACAGTAGAACCTCTGTAAGGTGACCACCCAACTACGGGACTGTAACAAACTGGTCAACACAAGGAGGTGGTCAATGTAAGGAACTGGGGTTACTGTACTGATATGTGCATGTGGTACATGTCCAGTCTGAGCAGGTGGTCAATGTGGGGAGGTGGTCAACTGTAGAAGTTCTACCATAATTTTAAAATAGCAAGGGAAAATGTTCTTTACCTTCACACTTAAATAGCTAGCAGCCAAGTTGCAAGCCTCCCTTAAAACACATTTATTTCTGGTATGACCTTGGATAAATGATTTAGCCTCAGTATGTTATTTCCTCAGAAAAAAATGGGATAAAAATAGTATCTACTTTGGAGGATCATTGTGGGATTAAACCAGCAGCTGTTGCTGAAGACCTTAGCGCAGGGCCCAGCGCGCAGTCACGCAGCTTTACCGCTATTGTATAACCCCTGTGTGCCTAACAGGCCACGGACACGCAATTGACAGTACCGGGCATCTCATTTCTCCTGAAGTAAGGTTGCATGGAAGGCACACACGTATTCTGGAGTGATAAATATTACGGTTTAAAAGGAATTGAGAGCTCCTCACTACCCTGAATTGCACAAGAAGTGAAGTGAATCTGCAGGGGAGAAGTGAGGAGTTATGGCAGTGCCAGGCCCAAGCCCAGGGCTCTGGATGCCTAATTCAGTGCAGTGTATGGAGGCAGAGGGAGAGGAGACCCAGGTCACACACAAGCCAGGATACTTTAATTCAGACACATGCTTCACAAAATTGGCAAAGCAATCAGCTGTAGAATGTCAGTTAGGTGTCTAGGAAAAAGATTTAAGTGATAAGACCAAAGAGCAATGTCATTCTCTTCTACAGGTTGGTCAACAGACAAGGTCAGTGATTACCTAATGTGTGGGTCCAATCCCAGAGGGCAAGTGGAGTCATGCAACAGAGCAGAAAAACCCTGAGAGAAAGGAAGAAGCACAGATTTGGAGAGATGACAGACTCAAGGTTAAATCTCATCTCTGCCACTTATTAGCTTTGGACCCTGATGGGGAACTAACCTCTTAATGCCTCAATAAATAAAGTTCTTTATTTGATTTTTAAAATAAAACCTTCTGATAGGCTCGGCACCTGTGACTCAAGGCGCCAGCCTCATATACCTGAGCTGGCGAGTTCGAATCCAGCCCAGGCCCGCCAAACAACAATGACGGCTGCAACCAAAAAATAGCCAGGCGTCATGGCAGGTGCCTGTATTCCCAGCTATTTGGGAGGTGAAGGCAGGGGAATCGCTTGAGCCCAGGAGTTGGAGGTTGCTGTGAGCAATGCCACAGCATTCTACCCAGGGCGACAGCTTGAGGCTCTGTCTCAAAAAAAAAAAAAAAAAAAAA